AAATATTCAGATTGGTCAAATAGCTTGAGCATGGCTTTCACTGTCATCCATAATACGATTAGCCTCCAGTACATTACCATAACAAACTGGGATTTCACAAAGATAAGAACCTGAGCAGAGAAAGTTTTCCTGTGGGACTCTTTGTTGGTAAAAGCATGTTGGTTTTTCCACACACCTATTCTGAGTTTTAGTAATGGTGTACATTCTTGTTTCTTTATTATTTAGTATTACCTTTACAGTGTTAGTGTATGTGTGTGTATGTTGTAACTGTTTATTCTACATACCACGAATCTTGTTCTTTTGGACATCTGACTCTCCTCTGCCTATGGGATTGACTTTGACTCCAACTGAAATGCAGAACAACATTTGGTTAAACTCACTTGACAGCTAAGGCTGTATTGATAATATTTGGTACAGATACAGGGGTTGGAATAGATGACTGATTCATCATGTGACAGGACTGAGACAAGGCCTAGAAAAGTATTTGTCAATTTCTAAAACAAGATAGAAAGTCTCCTCCTATAAAACTTATTGTTGCGTTGTCATACATCACAGTATTCACAGCCATCAGCTTTCTACCATGAGAATAAAAAAACAACACCATCTCAGATTCCATGGTGTGCCTGAGGCTGATTCATGAAAGTATAGCAATCATATCAGAGAGATAATCTCTATAATCTTAAACCATATGGGATTATCACATCCAGTTTAGATTGGAAGCTCAACATCAGATCGTTTTACAGTTAGGGTCGGAACCTTTGACAAAGGAGCTGAATACCTTTACAGAGCGGGGGCTTGCCCGACCATCTCCCATCACTTTTGCAGGTTCTGTGCTCTGATCCCCCGGCCAGATAGAAACCATCTTGACAGGTGTAGATCAGAGTATACCCCAAAGTAGGCAGGTCCATTGAGCGAACATCTACATTAGTGGGAGTCTCTGGCTGTCTGCAGGAATGGGCTTATGGGAAGAGAAAGTAAAGTAATTCAACACTGATAATGTTTTAGCATAAAGTCAAATAAATTCAAAGTAAAAATTTAAGTGGTATATAATATAATATAATACTATATATTGGGCAAATATTGGTTGTACACAGTGAAACTAGACATAGTGTTTTCTTACCTATGCACTCTGGTTGAGTTCCACTCCACGTTAGATTTTCTAGGCACGTTCTTGTGGTGGAACCAAGGATGTGGTAGTTTTTGCGGCACTTGAATGAAATCTTACTGCCAACCTACATTCACACACAAAAATGTCTTTATTCATTGTTAACAACATAGCCTTAAGACCTGCCACACACAACAAAATGGCGCAGCTGAATAAAGGAACGATTATTGTCAGAATAAATAACACACATGCTGTGACTGTTTTTCTAAACATGCTCGTAACCCCTTCCTCTCTTTGTAGCGATGTCAGTGGAAACATGACATGTGGATGAAGTCCAATTATGCCTGCTCAAATCCCATTAAGGATTTGATGGCCAGTATGTTCAATCAACAGGTTTTTATTTGTGCTACACATAGCCCAGTCCCTAAGACAAAGGAAAATACTGCCTGTCACTCGTAAAGTCTAACCTTAACAATCTGAGCTTCACGTCTCACCTGGCCTTTACTTTTGACCTTCATGTTGATGTTTGATTGAATTTTGAAACCTTAGGCCTATTGTAACTCACATGGATATTAATATTTATGCATTTAGTCATCCTGCTAACATCAATTCATCATCTCCTTTTGTACTTTGCTTGGCACACGCTTATGGAGGACAACAATGGTTACAGAAATAGGGATGAAGCATTTCATATAATGATCATATAATCAATGTATTCATCTCTAAATCAATGAACTAAATTAGTAAGTTATTAATTATTTGATATTTTGAAGGGCAATGA